CTTCGGCGAGGACGCGTTCTGTGCCAGCATGACCAGTCTTTGCATGGTAATGCCAAACGATGAGATCGGTGAGGTGGTGATTTGCAGGTAATATCAAAGGGTGTTTTGTTTAGAAATGCAGTTCAGCCTTGTTGAGCCTTCCTCCTACTCGCCATGTTCCGTCATCATCAAGAAATGGAGACAGCTTCTGCAACGAGTCATCCTTGCGCCTTCCAAACGTTTGTCCTTGCAAATGAGTAATAATAGCTGTAGCAGCAATCTTCAGTTCGTTCACGGTTAACTGTCCAATCGTAGGTTTCTTGGTTTTCAGATATTGCTTGAAGTGAAGGAGCCAAGCAACTGACTTCTTAAGGGCATACCATGAAGAATGCCGCTGTATAAGTAGATCAATGGGATCTGGCTCATCTGCAGCAACAGCGTAGACCTTATGGTTTGGTTTGACTTCGACTGAATCTTCCAGTGTTGAGCAATTGAACTCTGGTTGTGTTGGCCATTCGGCTTTTCTCCTTCYACAGGAAAGGCGGGCCATTGATCCATCTTGAGTTGGTTACGACGTCCTCTGCTGCCATACCACGGGAGGCATCATCGGCCGGATTCGAAGCTGAATTGGCGTACCTGCACTGGCTTGAAGTGGTGTGCTCTTGAATAGCAGCGACTCTATTTGCTACGTAGGTCTGATACCTTTTGTCTTCTTGTTGCAGGTACCATAAGACTATCATACTGTCTGACCAGAAGACAGACTTTTGTCTTCTTGTTGCAGGTACCATAAGACTATCATACTGTCTGACCAGAAGACAGACTCCTCAAGGGGTACTTGGAGCTCCTTCTGCAGTAACTGATCAAGTTTCACAGCTTCAACAGCAGCAATCAAGGAATAGTAGTAGGTTTAAGTGGTGCCAATCTGGACTTTGACATGAGGAATGAACAATGRGGGTTTCCGTTGTCATCAATCATCCTTAGATATGACACAGCACCATATGCCCGTTCTGAAATGGTGAAGTTCGGCGGAAGCTGTTTCAAAACCCTTAGGCTTCAGACAACGAGGAACAGCCAAGTTCTGAATGAGGGGRAGATCCTGTAGCCAACGACACCACTGCTCCTTTATCTCTGCTGGCATGKGGTCGTCCCAGCCAGATTTGATTCTGCAAAGTTCTTGAAATAGAATCTTCGCTTTCAGTACGAATGGGCTCACAAACCCAAGCGGGTCATACACAGAGCTGACCGTACTAAGAAGTCCACGACGAGTAAGTGGCCTTTCTTCTSGATGAACATCAAATCCGTAAGTGTCAGACTMTACCTTCCACAAGACACCGAGGGTTCTTTCTGCTGGCAACAKKTCTCCTTCCAAMTCAAGTGTCTTGACTTCCTTTGACCACTCGACTTCTGGTACAGTGCGAAGAACTTCTCTTGAATTGCTGATCCATTTTGTAAGGTTGAAACCGCCTCTTGACAGCAGCTCTCGCAACTCTTCAAYTTGAGTTACTGCCTCCTCAATGGTGGCGACAGATTTTAAACAGTCATCCACATAGAAATTTTTATCCACCGTTGAGATCGTGCTAGGATGAAAGTCCATTACATTGTCTTGCGCACACTTCTTTAAGGCRAAATTGGCACAACTGGGTGACCACACTCCCCCGAAGAGATGGGTTGTCATCCGGAACACCAATGGAGTCTTAGTTGGGTCATCATCTTGCCACCACAAAAATCGAAGGGCGTCCCGGTCGTCCTCACTCACATGCACCTGATTAAAAATGCCTTGAATGTCTGCCATGAAGGCAATAGGCTCTTGCCTGAATCGAAGCAGCACGCCAACCAGGCTATTKGTCATAACAGGACCTTGATGCACCTTGTCTTTTAGCGATACTCGATATTTAGCAGAACAGTCGTAAACAAGCCTGCACTTGTCTGGTTTCTTCGGGTGCAATACAGGATGATGGGGAAGATACCAAGTGTAACCTTTTCTTCCTTCGAGATTATCTTTAACAGGGTCAGCATACCCTCTGTAGTCTTTTGTCGAGAAGGTGCAGTCGTCGCTCGGCCACAAGTCTATTGTCCGGTAAATCAGGTGGTCTTTYTTTAWATGGGATGTCCATTGTGTAGTGGTGATCAATAAGCTCCACAGATTGATTCCAGATATTCAAAGCTTTCCGGTCACTGCTAGACAAGCCTAGACTGGCATCACAATCATCATCTTCTAGCTTCCAAAGGTTCTCTAGTTGCTGCTCAATGCTCAGTGTTTGCTCAATGTTCAGTTCTGGTTCAGCATTTAAAAAGTTCGATGAGATGAGAGTGTTTGGTTTGCCTTGGCTTATAGGACCATTCATGACCCAGCCTAAGGCGGTTAGACAAGCATATGGATCCCCTGGCCTTCCTCTTCGGGTGTCCTCTGGAAACATAAGGTCTGGGGTGTCTTGTCCAATGAGTAGATGAACTTCATTAACATCCAGCTTAAGCATTGATAGGTCCCTTAGATGAGGCCATTTCTTGGGGTCTGTCGATGAGGCTAAGTGTTCCAATCCGATGTTCAATGATGGACGGACCATTACTCCTGTCATGTCGAATTGTGGTCCACCRMTTATGTTTGASACTTGCARGTTAACAAAGTCTGCATTAACTGGAGTTTTGCCTTCATGAAGTGTTGACAAATTGGAATCATAGTTCTGCCTTGCAACACCGAGGTGCTGCGGGCAAGTTCTTCTGAACAATATCCGCTCATTCCACCTGGATCTATTAGGGCGTAGGTATCTGTGTAGTTGTCAAATCATTTGCCTTTCACATGTACGGCGACAATGGGAAGGGCCACCTTTTCTTTGTTACCAGCCACATAACTACTACCGATTGAAGTGCTTGATCGTGCAAGCGACTGTGGTACAGTAGTAGACTGTGGTTCAGTAGTAGACTGTGGTTCAGTAGTAGACTGTGGTACAGTAGTAGACTGTGGTACAGTAGTAGACTGTGGTACAGTAGTAGACTGTGGTAAATGCAGGAATTTGCTGTGCTTCTGACCACAGCCATCAATAGTGCACACAAAGGGTCGGACGCAGTCTCTGCCCAAATGACCGGGCTAAAGCAATTTACACAGAGTCTCTTAGATTGGATAAAGGTTAGA